CTGGGGAGGTAAGTCCAGGGCACATTATGTTGGAGCCGTTGAGCACATGACGGATAGCGCCTCGATCAACTTGCAGTTGAGGCAGCAGGAAGGGATCTAAGTTAAAAAGGATAAAAGGCCAAGTGTCAAGCCAACGTTTTCCCACAAACTGTGGTGGCAAAGGGGGCGGCCATCTCGACATATGAAAAATTTGCCCAACGGGCTAGTGGTCACACTGCCTATGACATTAAATCGGTCCGTGAATCCACGGGAAAAGCAGTAGCACGGGAACTTACATTTGTGGAGGAGCTTCAGTGTGGGAACAAATGGCCCCTCACGCTGTCGAAAAAAGATAACTTCTCCTGCCGGATCGGCATACAGTTCGATGTGGTCATGGCTAGGCACGGTAATAAGTTCGGCCGATTCTTACCATTTCAACAATTTAAGAACGTCCTTTTTTGGAAGAATCTGTTCAATGTAGTCCTTGCCCAGTTCGAAATTATCAAACACCTTGTTCCTTATCATTTTAGACACTGAATTCTTTGCATTGTTGACAGAGGAAACACTCTCCTTCTCATCGAATCTAAAGGATAAAATGAGCTGGAAAACGGCGGATATACTTTTTGAACATGGTGTTGTACGTGGTAGACGAGATACCTAGTGCACCATCGGAAGATAATATGAAGACAAGATCGCAACAAGTGGCCTTACAACAAAAACAACTGTGCAGGTGGATGATTTATTTGGTGAAGAATCGCAATTGCGAATACGCAATCGCTACAGCGTTCAGCGTAGGGTCGCATGAAAAATTAGACTTCCCAGGACGATCCCGGTAAAGCTGCTTGGAATTATCCCAGATAACTCTGGATGCACGCCAGACGCACCGTACTAGTGACTTCTCGCCATTTGACGTTTAAAAAACTGGCCGGTCTAGAGTATGCATGGAGTCACCAGGAAAAACGGCACGATTAAACAGTGGAAGACCACAGAAAGCAAATGGACTTGAAGCGCTTGTCGGTTAACAAGTGGGGTCCGCAATATAGATTGCTCGCGACGAGAAAACGGATTGGATTTAGTTTTACACCCAGAACCGAGTAACTGTTTTGATGAAGTATAGCGCATGCGCGACCTCTTACACTGGCCTCCTACGTTGGGCAATAGAAGGCGGGGTGTGGAATTTACGCGTGTAGGAAAGCAGACTCACGACGAGACCGCCTGCGTTGTTTGGCATCCCACTGAAACAGACTTCAACATAGACGTCTACATAAAGGGATGCAAATGAGCGTCGACAGATTGTTCCATGCCAAGAATCGGGTCCGGTAGTTCAAGTGAATGATCACGGACGGATGCCACCCAGAGTTCGCGTACATGTCATGTTTTTCGCCAAACATATTTTTCGCATCCATGACAAGTCATGCATATCAGCAGAGGAAAATTTTCTGATAGCGTAGAGAACACAGGGATGAAGGTGAGTCAATAGACAACTCTTACACGAGGAAATTTGATGCAAATATACAACACAAATGTCCCGCTGGTTGGGTGGCAAACAGTCGCCTGTCCCCATCAGCAGTTAACGAGTATTCACTGACCTTTGTGGACGTGGAACCGGAAAATCGCCGTCGAGTTAGCGACAGGACGACAGTGTACTGTCGTCCGCTACCCGGCGGTCAGTTACCCTAACAGTATTTGGGCGCCCAGGGTTAGATATTTACCAGCCTGTTTGATTTGCGGACTAGTGCAGGAATAATAGTCTAATTGGTTGCCGGTGCTCGGACTGTGCGAGGAAAGAAGCCCTTCTGGTACACACCCTCTTCGATGCCCACCCGAGTGTATTTCGCTTGTCACGCCTGCGGGGTCCCTTTGAGCGTGCGCACGCACTTTGTCTGGAACTTAAGACGCCTGTCCGGCGACTTAAATCGCCTCGGGCGACAACAACCACAACTCGCCCGATAAGGCGCGTCAACTTGCTGCACGCAAATGGGCATTGTCTGCCGGCTATAGCCGGCGACCGGGCTATAACTGGACGACTAGAATGCTACTAGGGTATAGAAAGGGTCTTAAGTCCAATCCGCTAAAACTCAAAATTCAAGACAATAGAAGAACGGTAAAATTGCAGTGAAGTGAAAGGATCTGTCTGTTAGAATATTTTTGTGAAGTTATCGACACGTTTTGAAATACATCAAAACGCAGACCGGCAGAGGCACCCACTTCAATTCCCCGCCAATAATCTAGGGCCATTCAAAGTCTGTATTTATTTTTTAATTAGTATTAGAGTACGAGAAATTTTTTCCGTCTTCAGGTTTCTGAAATTATGCGAAAATCTCGTTTGAATTTTTTCCGGCGCAAAAACCACAAGTAACCACTGATTTTGTTCTGAGTCGGGACCACCTTTTAAACACAGCCTCGCCCCCTTCATCTGAGGACATCCATCTAAGTTATGTGAACCATAACACCCCAGCAGACCTGACGGACAGAAACGTCTTTGTTTAAATGGACTCACTCTTTTGTAGATCGATCTTGAGGACTACTCACTCGAGTCGATCATCGGTGACCATCGATCCGATAAGTCCGATCGCTGTCGACAGCCCATTACGGCAGCCTAACCCATCCTACCTTGAGCATCTGGACCCTACCGCACGGCTTTTTAACTACATTGGGCCTTTTTGTTTCCTTGTGCACATCATCTCGTGACTGCGTGTCTTGTTGCCGCAAAGCCTGAATTCAGCCATATGCTTCAGATCAGCCACATCTGGCTTATCTGGAAGTCCCTGGGTTCCATTACTTCACAGAGGTTCGTAGGCAGAGTGTTCCTTGGCCAACCCTTAGTCCGCGCTTATACTGCGGACAACTTGGAGTCCAGCACCTAGGTCAAAGAAAACATAAGGCATCTTGCAGCGGTGTTTGACCAGTTCGGTGTTCCACCCTTTGAATTTCTCGGACACCTTGTCAACTCCAACGGCCTCCACAAATTCCTGCCTTCCACTTTCAAGCGTCAGCTGCAACGATCGCTGGACACGGTTAATTTCTACCGCCGGTCCTTGCTGAACCGTGCTGAAACCATTCTGACATTCACGAACCTCTTATCAGATCACAAAGGCTCGTTCGTAAGTTTTTAAGACGTCTCAGCTGCCCTTGCCAAGGGGAAGACTGCCCCAGTCAGAGTTACGATCCTGACGCATTCTGCTCCAGACACTTCTGTCCTTATCACGGTCAATGGCTATGTAGCAGTCTGTGTGGTTCTCCAGCAGCACCTCGCAGCCCCCATATATCAACCTCTTATATGTAATATGCATCTGGTAATCCAGGTCTGGTAGGAGAAACTGAAGTCTTACCTGCATGGCATATGGTTTGCGTGGAGAGAAAAATAAAGTACATGCATGTATGTATTAGTAGTGCTGAGGTTTTTCCAACTGCATAGAGTTTCATTTTGGACAAATACGTCATACTGCGTCTCGGAAACCAAAATCAGGTCACAAAAACGCGGCAATACCACCTCAGCGGAATGCCACTTCTAGAGGAAGCAATAGAGACAAATCTTGGAGTTTGGATTGCAGACACCCTAAGGCCTTTTACGCAGTATTGGAAGGTGACTAAGGTTACAACTTTTAGGCTGTATGCCATTAAGAAGGCATTTGCAGATTGCGGTGAAGAGTGTCCTTGCAAAGTCTTCGGAGCCTTCGTGAGACCGCACCTTGAATATGCGATCCAGGCCTGGAGAGCCTAAACGCAGAATAAATTAAGTTCGCTCGTCATGGCTATGTCTGGTGTTCTTTTCCAAGACCTCACAGCATCAAAGTCATTCACCCCTTACAGGGAGCCGTTCCGGACACTCTGACTCGAAGCCACTTAACCGGCTTCAGTTTGGACACACATTTGCGTCCACACAGTCGCAGTTGCCCATGCGGCCACTTGAACCCACTTCTACCTGTAACCACGATACAAAACAGCTTAACGCCCCCTCGGCAAATGTGACACACCAATCGGAAACCCCTTGAGATGGCCCTACAAGCGTAAAGCAGAAGCTGCCGCTAATCTTCCGGGACTCTCAGACATGACTGGAGGTAGCCAACACGAGCCCTGGCTGCGCCAGTAGCGACTGTCGTCCGGGAAGATGGCAAAAGTTTCTGTAAACAGCTATTGCCTCATTTTGTGCCTTCTGCCTTTTTCTCCAACATGGGATTTGACCTGATGATTGTAGCTCCATGTGAACAGTCTCACTGTTTAGACGCTACAGGGTCAATGCACACAGCTATACGAGAGACGCACAAATAACCTTAATCTTTATCATCAGAGTTATATGCAGATGAGTGAAGACCTAATACAAAGTTTCCGTATCGTGCATGGCTTGGACTGCACCATCCAGTGTTACGAATTTTCCTCTTGGCACATCCTTTCAAATGACGTCTGGCCCAATGGAGACCGGATGTGCGAAAGTACTTTTTCCCTACCGCATCGTGTAAGCGTTGAACATCCTGCCCCAGACAACTGTAATGAATCAATTTATGGACACATGTAAACATCGTTTGATGTATATATGCTACACCAACAAGTGAACTGTGTGACTGTGTGACCATAAAAAAAGCAACCCATTTGAATTTAGATCAACATTCAGACGATGGTTCAATTTCTTTGCATTATGCGAATTATCTTGATTTTTATGTTGCAATTAGGGAGTTCAAAGGCGTTAACCTATTTTTTTCAAATACGCTGAACTGAACTAAACATGCAAGTTATTGTACACATCCCCGGGGTGCCAGTAGTTATCGTCGGTTGAGGCGAACGGGTGATCATATTCTAGAATTTAAACATCCCTCAAGCAAACGGGAATCCAAACGACCCATAGCAAGCTGTTTCATTACTGGGCCACGCCGCTGCGACGTACGCCGGCAATCAGTCTGTGAAAAAAATATAATATTTTATAAGACGTAAACATTTAAGAATGAGGTACCGCAGACGATCCACATTGGACTATCTGGAGGAAACTGCAACTTACTCGCACAATGTGCTTCCAAATGACCAACAATATCTGATGATTTCGTTGGACGCTATTTTCATCCTATAAAATACAATATGTAGGTCCGGAAAGTAGCAGCTACCTGCCCAATAAAACTGTTATATGTACGCTGTTTTGTGAGAAAGAAAAGATGGTGGTGTCATAGTGCCACGTTTTTCGGCGTTTAGAGCCGTTCCACAATGGTGTCCGGTAATCATTTTGACATTAACTCCTGGCAGCGTTTTCAAGCCAGTTACTCAGTAGATACGTTTAACTATGCCCCCTTACTTTTCAGCCCCATGAGCACACGCACCCCTAAAGAATGTTCACCAATGTCTTTTGCCCTTCTGACTCTGACGTTTGAGGACAAATTATAAGAATATGATCCTCTACGTAGCGTACGAACAATTTGTTCGACCAGATTGTACGACCCATGCTACTTACTATTAACCCACGTGTCCAATGTTTATCATCCTAACAATTTTATTCACGTTGCCACCTCTCGGTTTGCTCAGTTTTTGCAATGCTATCAGACACTTTTGATGAAAGATGGCAGACTGAGGTGCTTCTTACCTGTGGTCTCTCGGTTCGAGCCTGAGTCACGTGAACCTTCCCCGTTCACCAAAAACTTGTTCCGACAGGTATGCGTGCAAGCAAAGGCGATTAAATCGCAGACTATCCGTGTATTTTTCCACGTCTAATTTCTTCGCACCACTACCCATTTGACAGTAGCCTAAGTATTTGCTTAATGGCAACGCCAGACTTTCCTTCCCACTGCTGATGCGCTTGACATACAGTAAAGTTTCCTATCTTATACTTCCTGCGTTGATCAATATTATTAATCGTTTGATTTGCGTCTATCGATTATTTCTGAAAATTGTGACTTTTTGCTCCGGAGCTCTCTTGTTATTTGTTTTAACCTTCTATCTCGTTAACGCGTACTTTGACGGTAGTTCATTATTTTTGGCAACATCTGTCTGTAAGTACAGTTTTTATATTTTGCCAATCATGTCACACTATTGAACCGTGTTTCTGCCCAAATATGTTTGTTGACTGTGTTACTACTTATGGGCGGACGCTAAGTAAACTAAACCTTAGCAATGCAATCTAGGCAGGCTTTAAATTGTGAACTCCTTAAACCCCTGATAGCATTCTAGTCGTCCAGGGCTAGCCCGGTCGCGGGATAGTGTTGCGATTGACTGGATTTTTTCAGCAATCCTAGCGGACACTGTCAACACGGAGACAGCAGGTCGACACGCCTTCTCGGGCGAGTTGAGGGCGTTGTAGCCCGAGGCGATTTGAGTCTCCAGACAAGGGCCTAAATTCTGGACAAAGTGCTTGCGTACGCGCAAAGGACCTCCATGCGTGACGTGAAAAATGCACTCAGGTGAGCATCAAGGAGGGGGCGTAGCAGAAAAGCCCCCTTCCTCGCACAGATCGAGCACTGTCAGTCAGGTTACCAGCCCTGCGCTAGCCTGCAAGTCGGGCCACTAAGTGTCTAGCCCTAGGCGACAAAATGCTATCAGGGCGGCTACGAAAACGGTTCCTGAGGGGAGACTATTTTATCGGACTACTTACTGATGGTCAGATAATCTCAACCATCCTCATATTACTTGTCCCTTTGATCAGCCGTCTGCAAAAGCACGGTTAATAGGTAATTAAGTTTACAGTGATCCTTAAAGCTCAGATCACGGACTGCCGCAGAAATAAGACCGGCAAATTCTGTAATTTAAGAAGGGAAGATCGAAAGTCCATGGGAACGAGTACAGATTCGGAAGGAAATGTGGGTCGTGCACCTCAGCAATTTTTATTGAATTGAAATCGGCTTTTTGCCATATCCATGCATTTTGTGAAGGGGTACGGGTTCTTTGTTGACGATTATTTTCCCTAGTGGAGTTCACTTATCTTATTCTGCTGCCTCCAGTTTCGCTTTTCGCTTAATCTTGTTTTGAGAATTGTTAATTTACTGCCCCCCCCACCGCTGTGCCCAAGGTCGACTTATTGTTGCCGTTAGCAGTACTAATAAATAAATCCATGTATGTATGCGTGCTATTCCTTGGAGTTGTCCGTTTACTTGTTCCGTCCCAACAAAGCTTCCATTCTATCGCTGACTTCCCTTGAAACTCCGACCGTCGCGAGCAGCAATGTCCACCGTGTGCCCCACAGCAGGGTGAGTCCTGGAACGGTGACTTTTCCGTGAATTAGTTCGTGGTGGCGGTGGACTTTCGCTGCACCTAACACACTCCCCTCCTCCACACTTCGGTGTGGAAGACCGGAGGCTGGATCGGACGCAGTGGCTGACAAAGTTTAACAGCCCGTCTACGCGTGTCACAAACGTCTGGTTCGCGCACGATAGGCCAAGTTTTCATGCGACAAGGACGGGACAGCTCCGATCCAAACTGAATGGGAGCGTCAAGAAGGCCACATTAAGTGGGGGCTATTGTAACAGGATTCTCCGTATTGAGATGGAAACCGAGTTGTCATATCAGTCGAGAGCCTTCCAAAGCAGGACTTTTCGCGCACAGTGATAGATTCAAGCAAATCAGGCCGTTTTTAGTTAGGAATATCCATCAAGTGTGTGTGAATGCAGTCTCCCTAATCGACCTCTCTCCTTTCCCCTAACCCAGTCGACTGTCCGAGTCAGTCAATCAACTGAGATTTGACGCAGTGGCTGACAGTTTAAACATCCCGCCTGCGCGTGCCACGCACGAGCTGACCACCCACAACACATCAGGTTTTCGCACACCAGGGTGGGCTGTTTGGATCTAACATGTGTTAGAGTGACACGGAGAAGTGGTCGATGGACGATCAGAAACGTGATCGCCAGTGGTGCGGCGGCGGCGGCGGCGGCGACGGTGGTGGTGGTCGCCGTCGTGGACGCCGTGGGAGTTGGTGCAGGGGTCACGATGGAGGCGTTGGCGGAGGCAGCAGGTGTAGTTGTCGGGTTTCTGCATTGGGCCTGAAGATGTCCGACGAGGCCAATTCGCACGCGAAATGTTTGTTGACAGCGTGGATATATTGAAAGCTGTTGGGTGTTGGTCTTGTGGATCGGGTGCGCGCGAGACATGCGAGCCGATCGGTTGGCTTTGTCAGCGGCGATCCGATTGGGTTCCGAGGTTGTTGCTCCAATCATCACTGCTTTACTCCAGGCCGGTCGGTCCCGGACGAGGTCATCCCAGGTCTAGGAGTTGACTTGCAGTTCTTTGGAGTTTTCCGGGATATCCTTGTAGAACCGTAGTTGTCCGCCTTTTTGGCGAGCACCCGCGATGAACAGCATAGAAAAGTCACATGGTTAATCACCCATCATCCATCCTCGCGAGGTGGTCACTTGTGGACATTTGCCTCTGCACTGCGTGCACGCTGAGGTTTTCAATTCTTTCGAAAACCTCTGTGTCTGGCATCCTGTTTTGTCACCTCAGCTCCAGTATTCTCCGGGGAGAGCTGGATTGGGAGTGGATCGATTTCCTGTCTCGATTGACGTAGACTATCCATGTCCCCACGCCGTACGCTAACGTTGGCAGGACTGCCGCTCTGTACACTTTGAGTTTCCTGCTGACTCGGAGTCCGCGGCGATTTAAGACGGAGGTCCGCAGCTGGCAGAAGGCCTGACTGACTTTGGAGATCCGATTTGCAACTCCAGCGTTGATTTTAGTGCTACGTGACAGCGTACTGCCTGAATAGACGAATCTGTCCATGGTTTTGAGTTGGAGCGGTCGATAGTGATGCGAGGGTCGTCGTATTTTGCGCTGGTCGACGGCTGATGCATGATCACCGTTTTATCTGTGTTGACGGTCAGTACGAAATGTGCACAGCCGACGAGGAGATTCATGCTTCGTTGCATATACGCATCTGTCGCGGTGTTGGACGCGCAGTCATCCGCGAAAAGCAGGTCCTCGACAGAAGTCAAGAGACGTGTTGGGGCCAGAATGCGTCAAATACTGAGAAACTGGCCGTTGGTTGTGTAGACGGTTTTGACCTCAAGACGCTCATCACGGTAGGCGTCCATCAACATGGTGGAGGACATTAGGCTGAAGAGGGTGGGAGCTGTACTCAATCCCGTTTTACACTATTGGTATCTGCGAATGCCTCTAGGGCTGTCCCACTGCCCGTGACGCACGCTACCATCCCGTCTTGGATCTGGTCCACCATATACGTGCATCGCTCAGGGCATCCAGATTTTTGCATAATTCTCCAGATCCCATCGTAATTCACCGTATCGAAGGTCGCCGCTAGACCTACGAAGTTGGTGCAAAGGCCATTATGGTTTTTGCCATAATTCTTCTTCAGTTCCCGGGCCGCGGTCCCTTCGAAATTCACACTGGCTTTCCTGGGAAGTTCGTATTTTAGATGGCTGTCGAGGCGATGGAGAGGGATGCGGGTGAAGATATTCCCTGCAATGTTAAACGGCGAAATTCTTCCGTGATTATTACAGAGTTGCCGGTTCCCTTCCTGCCTGTGGAAGTGAACGATTGTCACGTTCTTGAGGATCTGAGAAGCTGGCAATTCAGGTCCGTGTTGGTTTCCACTTTGGGTAGCCGGTTTACGGCGGCGTCGGAGATTGTAGGTGGGGGATCAAGGACGCTCCTGAAGTGCCCAGCCCAGTGCGTCAGAATCAGCGATTTCTTCAGGAGGAGTGTTGCTCCGTCCTATCTGAATAGCGGCGCAGTTTCTTTTACTAACTGACTGTAGACTTCACTAATGGCATGAGTCTCCATACATCGTCATCACAATAAGCTTTGTTTGCATCGAGGTTGAAGCTGCCGCTCCTCCCGCAAAGACGGTGAGGAGGAGCTAGATATTAACAGCTTTCACATTGGAAGAGAATTAGGGATCTAGAATCTAGGGTAAACTTTTGCGGCAGGTGAGCAGTTGCGAGCTATCTTCCTTATCTTTTTTTGCCCGTTTGTCTTACGTGTCACATTGGAGAAGTAGTTTTACAAGTAGATTTCTCTTCTGCCATAATTTCTCTGGCTTCAGTCATTATTTCTTTGATGGCATTAGTAATAACTGTTTCTTGGTGGCCCTGTTCCTTCGGCATATTCTGGATTCTCTGTTTCCTCTTCAGCGAGCATGTTAACTACCCGCCAAACTAGATTGAACATTGCATAGTTTCGATCTACTCCGCCCTGCATTTCCCCCGGAGTAATTACAAATCTTCTTTCGTTTTTCCTATCCGTGCAGGGGTTAGAACTTTCATGAACACAAGCAACTAAACCTCGTGTTTTCACAATTTGTCGTCTATATTGCCGTCATTCCTATTACAGATTCTAACTCCCGTTTTCCCCTCTAACGATATCACTCCCAATACTGCCTGTAGGCGGGCACCTTCTAAGGATCAGTGTCATGCTCCATTCCTTCGGACATCCCTTCAGTCACATTTTTAACACAATAATAAATATAATCCTTATCCATTATGGTTGTTTTTGATGTCCTGTGAGAATTGCCTTGTCCCTTTAACCCACTTTTCCTTTGCCTTCCAGGATCTAGATGAGGGTCTCTCTATTGCTTCCCGAATTGAAGGGTAGTGTTTGGCCTTTTTGTCCTACCTCGACCTTCTTTTCAGTTTTTACCCGTGCAGTCTCCGCCCTTGGGAAACTTGGCGATGACCTGTACTTCGAGTGTGGCGCCGGCGAGGTAATTCAGACGCAGAATTCAAAGATGCCCTCTTCAGTTAAGTTTGCGGTGCGTCAACTCTTCACGCTCTGCCTACGCGGCCGCATTTTTTTCCACTAATTTTTTTGAGAAGGCCTCGGGCCTTGAGGACCGCGATGACACACCGAGGTTCAAACTCACCGCTAAGGTATGACGCCTAGCCCCCTCCCTCCCTAATTAGTTTCCGCCATCCTCCCCCTCCGACAAGACTTGCTGCAGAGTATTCAAGCCTTCGGTGTCTTGGGACAAAGTTGTTCGGAAGTGCCGACTCCAACTGGACGAATCTGGCAACACGCTGATTGTGCAGTTTTTCCAGCGCCACGGTGAGTAAGTTTGAAAGGGACTGTCAAAGCCCTCATGCATGTATTCTCTGTGTGTTTAAAAGCTTTCTTCATGCATCCATTCCTCAACGCCTTTCTTTGTTTCTGAAAGGCCTCGTCAAAACGTACAATCTGCCCACTATCGACTGCGAAAGCCTGGAGGCTGTGTATAATATTGGCGATGCCTTCAATCATCTGGCAGCCTCATCGAAGTTAGTTCTTTTCGCTGTCTGCGATCATAACTTTGGTCCATTTAGGGTGTTTGCTGAGATCATTAGCAATTTTCGCCCAACCCAAACTGAGGTGACTCTCGTCATACAGGATGGAGAATGCGTTTTCCGAAATTTTATTGATGACTCCGGTAGGTCCGCACACTTTTGCGTAACTTTGGTTAAACCACAGACTTTTCTGCAATCGTCACTCATGTGCCGGTATCCTCCAGCGAATTCGAGACGTATGACTTCCACGAAGAGGCCGAAATAACGTTTTGTCAGAAAGATTTGCGGGTAATACGCGAACTTCTCTAGTCTATTTGCTTCACATTTTCTTCCAGCAAAACCGAGTTAATTTTTTTATCGTTTTCTTAAGCAATGCGTGTTCTTGACTCTCCTCGCGTCTGGTGACCGAACTATAAAACTTGTCTGGCAGCGATCATAAGACCTTAGTACTGCCTATACTATTAATGACCTTTCGAACAGGTGATATTCGAGGGAGTCGCCTTACAACCCTTGTATGCCAGCAGTAACTTTTTGTTCATTTTTCTGACATTCTGTATTCTGCTGCGGATATCTTGAGCTTCTTTACGAGCTGTGATGGCTGTTTCGTGACATTTAAGGGCTCTAGATTGAGGCTTCAGGGGAGGATGGAACGCCAGTATTACGTCCATTAACCGATACTTACTGCTGATCTCAACTTAAACGTGAGTGAGTATTGACTGTCGTGGTAGCCGACAGGACATGAGTCGACAATAATTATCGATTTTGGTCGCATACATATGGATCGTCTTTAATCCCGGCCGGCTTGGTCAGTTCTCAAAAGATGATCATCTCACTGCCGTCTCTGATCTGTTTACCATATCCAGCCGTGGAACTCCACTACGGGGTATACTACGGCCTCCTCCCCTCATTAAGGTGCAAAGCCAACATTTATGGTCAGTGGTGTATCTATTTGGTATGCTCATACTGCCCCTAAATGGATAATGGGGTACAGTAGGTGTGCTAACTCATGAAATCTTAGCCGAAATTCCGAAATGCATTTTCGATTGGAAAAGATTACATAAGTAGGTTTGCAACATTAGTTACCACGCAGCATAATCCCCGGACATTTCCGTTATTACGGGATGCCAGCTTTTGAACGAACTCCTTTCCGGCTCCCTGTAAAAAGCACAGGGAAAAATTACTACTTGAGTAGTATGAATTTTTTCATTGATTGTCGATGTCCTTATAAAGTCAAATATATTTAATAGAAAACATGCATACACATATTCCCTCTTTTACTAATTTGGTAGGAAATTACGTCTTCGAATTCTATGCTTGAAAGACGATATAATCTGGTTTCAAAAAGTTATCAATTATGAGATTTTTTTAAGATCGTAAAATGCCCGTTCATAGGACATAATGTCTCTGCTTTTACTAATGTTTCTTGTAAAGTTTACAACATCTCAAATCCACTGGCTAATTTTACGAACCCCATATGGTCTGCTCTTAAAATAGGATAGAAATGTATAATTTTCCGTGCACGGAAAGCATGCAGCTTGTAGCTTGGAAACTCGGAATGCAAGTGCAACGGCAGGTCGGACCCAAAATTATTCTGGAGTCGGAAAAGTTGTTAAAACCAAATTATACCCCTCAGTTAAGTAGAAAATTTGAGGAAGACGTAAATTTCTACAAAATGAGTAAAAGAACGAACACTTGTATGCATGTTTCCTATAGGATATAGTTGAATTTACAAGGACATCGGAAATCAATGAAAAAATTCACGCTACTTAAGTAGTCATTGTTTACGGAGTACATCTTTGGCAGGCGGCCGGAAAGAAGTTCGTTCAAAAGCCGGCATCCTGAAGTAGTTGAGATATCCTGGGATTATGCTGCACGGGGACTAATATTACAATCCTACTTAAGTAATCTTCCCGAGTCGAAAGTGCATTTCGGAATTTCGGTTAACACTTCATGAGTTAGCGCATCTACAGTAGATGCGCTGGACCCAGTCAGGGGCTAGATCGAAGTCCAGCAGGCGTTATTTGGAATGCGCACCCATAACATGCGCCAACATCGGAGGTGGGGCGACACGTTCAGATGTAGACCCGTGCTGCGGCAGTTTGGATCCTTGCCGTCCCCCTATTTTTTGTTGTGATATAGAATTCCAGTCAGTGTCCGTTGTGGACCAGGGACTGTCGGGGTTTTCACCGTGCCAGCTACCTGCGCCCTCTCCCGCCTCCGGTTTTTTCAACTCTCATTAAAACCAGGCCCAGCTGCGGGAGGGGGGGGTGAGTGCGGTAGATGCTGGGCAAGTCACATATCAATGTAAAGAATTCACTCATCAGTTGCCGTTTCTGCCCCCACTCTGCTGTGCCGCATACTGTGGATACCGTCGGAGACGACAGCCGAACTGTCGAATTGTGCGTTTATGCGCCCATTTGGTGTGCCCGTTTATCTAACTTCTTTTACAGAACCTCCTGTTAGGACTCCTAACAGTATGCGGAAATCGGGATGGCGTAAGGCACGCCCAGGTCGTCGCAGACAAATGCTCATTTTCATAGTGACTTGACTGTTTTTTTTTTCATTTAGCTTCTTCCTGAAGTTTACTTGCTTCTACCCCAACAGTGTGTGCTTCTCCCTACACCTCCCCTTTCCTAGGCTGCCATATCCTTCGGCGAGACTGTGGGATCCCCGCTTGTGGTTCACAGCGGCCGACCGGGCAAACCCCTTATCCTGACCTTCACTGACGACAATCGCTTTAGTGCGCACTTTGTCCTCGCCACCCTTCCTTTGACCACTGGCTCTCGAAAGAGACTCGAAACCAGCACATTCTCGACGAATATCACCACCAGTATCAGCGCGGAGGAGGATGCTCATCTGCCGACCTGTCTCACGTAATTTTATTTCCACAATAGGGCCCCTTTCCGTTTGTACTTCGTGGCTTTAATACCATTCTTTGGAACCGACCAGTTCACATCGCCCACGCGCCTTTATGACTTCTTTTCCCCCTCTCTCTCTGTTTAGCAAAGCAGCTCCTCCAACGTCTACCTTACCACCGACCAGTCAACCAGACCACGAAAGGACGCTGGTTCACACCCAGACAGCCGATACGCAAATACTTCCCGTCTCACCTCATCAGACACCTGAGACGCGGCTCCCCTCCGCGAGGCAGGTAAAGATCTCAGTTGATAGGCCCGAGGAATCTGCCCAACGGCTTTTTGTGCCATAAAACAAAGTTAGTATGCGACGCCACCTCATTCCTTGAACACCTCTCACGCACACACCTAACGTGTTGGTCAGTCAGTAGCTCCAACTCTCTGCACTTGGTGGTGCTTTTTAATATACATGCCCAGGCAGTGATTGGTTTCTAGCGTCTTCCGTTCAGTTCTTAAGAAAGATCCTTTTCATACTTAGTCATTCGAAAGAAAGAATCTGTTTCCTGTAGCAGTATAGGTCAACAAGTAAGCAGTATTCCAGCTTTTTAATTTTTTTATAAATTATTCGTTAACATTGGGTGAATCAGTCAGAATGAAGCCTTATGGACAGAGGCAGAAAGTTAAAATGAATATTTAAGCCCGAATCCACCGGCTACAGCAGAACAATCGCACACTGCCGATGGATAGTCAGTAGTATGCAAGCGCTTTGTGAATTATCATACTGGTGAGCCATTGATGAGCTGAAACCCCTGCAGTTATCTTATGCAGCGCAGAATATCCGCGAGACAAGTGTCTGGGCTTTTCCCTAGTACCGGTGCTGCCATGCATCATCATGCAGAATTAAGTAAACAGTATGCCCATATGTCTGCGGTCGACTTCCAAACAGTTCGAATGAAAGAGCCTGCATGTCTACATTACGGTTGAAATCAAGGAATACTTAAAAAACTAGCCTTCTGTCCTATAAGTTTTTTTTAGTTTCTGTGTTTCCTCAATACTGCATGCCAGTGAAATATATATAGAGAGAGAGAGAGATCTAGTAAGCGTCCTAGCTGACTACAAAATGCATACATTTGATCTACAATACTCTGTTAAAGCCGAAAGGACCATTCTGAAGGGTTCCTGCGCCTGTGTAAAACATCTCTTGAATTTCAAAGCACTCAGACGCAACTTGGTTTTGGTGCACAACGGCACATAGTCTGGACAAACGAGGGTTTCACGCTTTGTCCCATGTCATAGGTGTAGCTACGTATGCGTTTTTGGTAGAAACACAATTGCTCCAAAATGACCCACTGTTTACTCGACAGCTCATTTTCCGTCCGACTACTCGGGACCAATTGGCCGGTCAGGATTCAAAGAAGTGTCACGAATATCTCTTTCTTGTCTCATGGGATTGTTCATATCTGTGAAAGCCAGTTCATATAGGCTTAAGCTAGTGTCACTTCCGAATTTCCGTTCTCGGATGCTTGAAAAGCTCACCCCACTTTTTCAGAATTAACTGACGCTCTGATTTGTAGCCTCAACCTAAATGTAGCTACTTGCTGTTTGTGGAATTGTCTGCAAGTTGTTTTTGGTGACATACCAGTGTACGCCCCTTTTTAATGCATTTCTAATCGTCTGCTGTTAACATTTGCGTAGTCACGTTTTTTTGTGAGTTTCGCTTGCTTTGATTGTGCTACTCCTCTGCTTTCAATTGCTTACATTGTGGCCTTCCGTTTTATTTGACTTAATTCATATAAATCAGGAATGTTTTGGAATAAAGATTGACATTTTCGTCCTGAGTCCTTACCCAATCCAAGTTTATTTTATTCCTGATGTAGTTTTTTGAGGAACAAAAATTCTTACATCCCATATACTTACCTAATCCAATTTTTTATTTTTGGGATTTTATTTAGCGTTCCCACCCTACATTCATACCTAATATTAATGAATTTCTCGTGTATTTGTTGAGAAAACAGAAGTAATGTTTCCATCCCGAATTCCTACTTAATTTATTTGATTTTTCATATACTTTATCTAGGCTTAATTATTAACATTTCCGCCGTGAATCTTTTCATAGCCCTCATTCATTTGATTTGTGATGTATTTTCGAGGCGAAAAATTAACACGAAGGGGACACGGTCGCTGAAACAAGAGCATTATTCACCTGACGCTTCGCAGCCCTGCTAATACAACAACAGAAACGGGCTGCAGTGTTTATAGGATGCAATCGCCATGCTATTGCACATCTATGAAAATTCACGGCCCTCTCCTTCGTCAGGGAGTGTTGTACTTTGAATGATGATTGTTCGATGGCCGACATTCCAGTCGTTAAACATTGCAATTTCACCAGGTGTTGGCGTTGGGAATAGTGTTTTCCTGTGCGCTCTTCGCGTGGCCAATTACTCCGCCTAGGCTTAGCCTTACCACCGAAAGTGGAAGGCCAAGGTAATTACACTTTTTGATAAACGGGGAACCAGTGAGCCCTGATTCAAGTAGCTCGCGGATCACACGATTTTTACCTCTAGCGAGAATTTCGGCCTCTTCGAATTTGAATGTGTGGCCGGATCTCGTCGAATGAGCCGCAACTTTAGCGCTAGTGTCATTTTCACGCACCGCCGTCACGTGCTCGGCCATTCGCGTTCGAAACAGTCTTCCGGTTTCTCCGACGTAATAGCTTTGTCCGCAACCACACCAGATCAGCTAAAAGACTCCAAACGTTTCTTGCCGTGACAGTGGGTCTTTCAGTCCCAGCATCGGACACCTGATGGTTGACCTCGGTCTGTGTGCAACTCCAACCCCAAGTGGCACGAGAAGGCGGACAGCCATAGATGTACGATAGCATGGCGACTGCATCCTATAAACACTGCAGACCGTTGTGTACGAACTATCCGTATCTGTTTTTGTCTCTGATGATGGGTCCGAGCAAAAATCCGAAACGTCAGGCGAATAAAGCTCTTGTTCCTGCGATCCTGTCTGCTTCTTCATGACGACATCCTGGAACTCGCCTCTTCGCCTCTATTGATAGAAGAATTAACGTTTCCGTTCTAAATCCCTACTTAATATTTTTTATTTCTACTGGATTTTTCTTGGTTAAAATGAGTGTTTGCGTCCTAAATCCCCACTTTTTCTTAATTAATTTATTTATTTTGAGGTGTACTTTCCATGAGAAAATTAACTTTCCGTCACAGGACCCACCTCATTTCTAATTTATTTAACTCCTAGTATATTTTTTGGACTAGAAATCAACTCTTACCCCTAAAAGGTTAATTACTTGCTTTTTGGAGTGTGACCACGATTTGTATCAGAATCTGCAAGTACTCGTTGCTGTTGACGGCCTTTATCGCGCTGACTGCGGTGCACGATTTGCACTCTCTTTGGCCATTTGACCTAGGACAAGTTCCCTTTCCTTCATCAAACAAACTCTGCCGCATCGATGGCTTCCGTCCCGCGACATGCATAATTTTCCTCATATTTCTTATTTAGCGCTCACTTTCTAGCGTTTTATACGTCGACTTAAATAAGACGCCTTCCTTGTGTCAGTTTTCGATGGTCTTATAAATTCAAATATATTTTATAGAAAGCGTGCACAACAATATGCTTTCTTTTACATGCTTGGTAGAAAACCACACTATCTTTCTATTTTATACCCTAAGAAAGGTTATCTTTCGGTTTTTTTAAAAAAAGTGTTTAACTATGAGATTTGTAAGACCGTGCGATGTCTATATATACAGCACCGCTCGTGTCCCTTTACCACTGTCCCTCCTGAAATGTACAACACAGCCCGTATCCATTGCGAAATTTTATGAACTCTATACAGTATCTTCTTAAAAGCATGGAGGAATATATGATTTTCCTTACGCCGAACGCATGCAACTTGTAGACTGAAATCGATAAACGCTAATGCAACGGCTGATCAGGCTCAGAATAATTCGGAAATCGGAAACCTTTTTCAAAACCTAAATATACACTTTTTCCGGGCATAGTGTGAAGAGAATGTGATTTTCTACCAAACAAGTAAAAGAAAGCATATTTTTGTGCACGTTTTCTGTAAAATATAGTTGAATCTATAAGACCGTCGAAAATCAATGTAGAAAATACCTGCTACTTATGTAGTCATTTTTTACCGAGTGTGGTTTCTGCGGGAGGTCCAAATGAAGTGCATTCTAAAGCCGACATCCTGGCGAGTCCGAAATACTATAGGATTGTGCCTCATAATGCTCAGTATTACAACCCCGCTTAAGTAATCCTTCCTAGTCGAAAACTCATTTCAGAATTCCGGCCAACATTTCATGAGATCGGTCACTCACTGTATGTTTCCCACTTGTAAACCTCTGTCAGCATCATTTCCGTCATGCACTTGTCCTCGATTACCGCGGTGTCACGGCTGTTGCAGGCTGTAATGTTGCGCCGTTTTTTTCTACATTCACTCCTTATCTCTATGACGAATATTCAACACCAGCGAACCCTGCTCGCCAATGTGCTCTTTAAGCTCATCCTAAGCGTTCCGACGGCAAAAGTTCTTTTTAAAATGTTTTGCCCTTTTGCCTCGCATGTTCTTCTCTCCTGTTGACCTATTCATACTCTTCCCTACAGGATGATAAACCCTTCACCGTACGGTCGAACAACGGTTACGAACCTGTCCCGAAAAAGGTTGGTATACTCATTCCGATCGTTATTTCTCTGCTAAGGTGTATCTGCAGCAGGCATCTCAGGGCGACCTTTTATTTTACCATCTGAACAAGGCGAAGGCGACAAAGCATGCAGAATTTAATGACGTCATAAATTTCGGGACCTCTCATTCAGCTGCGTACGGTCATTGCATAGTTATTTACAAGGCAAAACTGTTCAATCAACGATCGACCTAGAGAGCTTAAACGTGATAGGTAACCTGAAACGTGGGTCTAGTATGCGGGGGCATATGGTGAGGGGGGAGGGGAGAGAGAAGTCATCCAAGTATGAGAGAGAACTGGTGCGGCGTGATTTGGAGTGCAACGTGCGGGGAGCATTCATCATGCCTTGTTCAAATTTATCCCGGGAAACCACTGCTTCAATCTATTTTACCATCATTGTCGTATATTTCGCCATGATGCAAGTAAACGGTTTTTGTGTGAGTATAAGTCAGAGAATTTTGTTCCATTCTTCTATCTACAGTCAATTACCAATCTGGCTTAAGTAGGATTGTAGTATTGCTTATCATGTAGGCCTTGGGCTTCTAACCAACAGGTTGCGGGATGGAGCCCCAGGTGTTCCACACCTCGGGATTGGATACGAACGGCTGACGACGGCTAATAAGACAGAAATGGCCACTCCAGTTTCCCTTGTTTTTGTCGGTAATGCTATTCTGCCCGCATCATGCGCCGTTGTGCGGCTGTTGGTTGGGCTCGAGAGTGAGCCCTAAGGCACAACTGGACGAGTGAGTTCCGTAAAAACGATCGGTGAGCGCCCTTCTACCATCGTATCCGTCCTTTCCTCAATGCTCCTCATGAAATATATGACATAGTACACATCCCTTGCGAGATTCTGAGCTGCACATAGTATCTTCTTAATGGCATAGAGGAATGCATAATTTTCCTTACAGGAAAAATATAGGGCTTGTAGCTAAATGGTCGACTACCAAATGGGCACAGGAGTGAATATTTTTGTGTATGCTTTCTGCAAAATATACTTGAGTTTGCCTTGTTTAATTTCCGAGGAAACTAATGCGCGGACTTGGAGTAACTCTTCCGAAACAGGCCTTTTCAGGCACCGTCCGAAGTTTCGAAAGAGTTAATATCAGTATCAGTATATTTCAGGGAAAGTAGGTGTGTACCTTATTGTGTACCCTATTGGTTACATGCAGAGGATATATATGGAGGAAATGGAAAGGAAGTAACATGAAAGAAATGCGAGGGGAATAGCAAAAACTGTGCAGATGAACACAGAATGTCATGCGTTAACAGAATTTAGAGGCACATTAACTTGCTTTGTTGATCAAATACAGCGGACAGTTGAAGCACACTTAAGATACGGGAAAAGAAGTAAAATTGTTTAGTCTACAGGCATCGTGGTGAATGCGAGCAGCGGTGTGCGACGTGGCCCAAATTAGTAAATTACATAAACACATGTTACTTAAATGTTGGTAGTAGCATCGTCATAACACTAATTTGTGGCGGTAGACCGCCGTTATTGTGGTTCGCGCTCCAATGCTGATCTAGTCTCCATTTAAAAGTATCTACGGATCCCGACATAACAGCATCCTCAGGCAAGGCATTCCAAACTGCAACCACTCTGTTGGAGAAGAAGAACTTTCGTGTGTCTAGCCGGACACCAGTCACACGCAGTTTAAGTGGATGGCCTCTCAGGTTAGTCGTAGTCGCCAACTCGAAGAAGTCTCCTGATGCGAGGCAGCAGCCCTGATGGCGCACGATGCGGAAAGCTTGTATCAGGTCCCCACGTAGCTGTCTGTAACTCAAAGGAAAGAGGACAAGATTAGCTAATCGTGTTTCGTAGGGTAGTGACCACTGCCCAGATACAAGTTTCGTTGCTCGCCGTGGAACTTTTTTGAGTATGCCCAAGTCTTTAGCGTTCCAGGGTCGCCATGCTTGGATAGCAAACTCCAGATGCGGTCGCACAAAAGTTTGAAAGACCTTGGCGAAGCAGTCTTCATCAAAGGAGGAGAACGCCCGTTTGACAAGGTATAGCATGGACATCGCCGACTTGGCCACCTTTGAACATTGCAGCGAAGGCTTAAGCGAGGTTGTGATCCATACACCCAAGTCCTTCTGGGCGTCGACTTCTTGCAGTGGTTTGCCAGTCAGACGGTAGACCGTGTGGTTAGGGGAACTGGTTCTGCCGACGCGTAGGAAAGTACACTTTGTTTACGTTAAACGATAGAAGCCAGTCTTTCGACCATTGCTCGAGGTGGTCCAGATTTGTCTGCAGTCGCGCCTCGTCAACTTCGCTTCGTATGGTACTCCAGATCTTTATGTAATCGGCAAACATTGCGACATCGCAATTCAGTTCGTTTGCGCAGTCATTGACGTATACGAGGAACAGTGTAGGGCCAAGAACAGAGCCTTGGGGAACACCACTCTTAACGGCAACCTCGGCAGATTGTTGGTCACCGACGTGGACGGCTTGCGAGCGGCCGATTAAAAAGCTACGAATCCACATCAAAAGCTTACCTCGCACTCCTGCACGGCTAAGTTTGTATAGGAGGCGGTGGTGAGGCACACTATCGAAGGCCTTTTTAAAGTCGATATAGATGACATGCACCATATCTCCTCTATCAACAGCCCTAGTCCAGTGTTCCAGACGGTAGAGCAGGTTTGTCACACAGGATCTGCTTTTGCGGAATCCATGCTGAGAATCGGAAAGCAAATGGTTCTGTTCAAGAAACTGCATTAATTGTTGCTTTATTATCTTCTCCATAATCTTACAGCAAATGGAGTGGAGGCTGACAGGTCTGTAATTAATCGCTGAGACCAGACTTCCGCCCTTGTACAGCGGCGTACTCCAAGTTCGCGCATTACTTTCCTCGAAATTAAACAAGGCAAGTTGAAACTGGTGTTCATATACTAGAAAACACACGAGGAAAGCTGGGGGACCCACTGACGAGCCGAACCCCTCGCAGATGCGTCAGGCAGCGGCATAAGATCGTCGAAACACGCGTGTCTGAGCTTTTAGCTAATACCTGTGTTGTTAGTACGGTAAATCATTGTACAATTCTATACTTGAGTTTATAAGAGCATCGGATATCAATAGTAAAACAGCATACGACTTAAGTAGTTATCTTTTTCTACTGAGTGCAATTTTTGCAGGCGACCGAGAAGGCTTGTATTCAAAAGCGGGCATAAAAAGACCGCGGTCCCCCTAAATTTCCTTTCGAAAATTCTGTTGGGGGTACCTTCAGTAGTAGAGAGGCACTTGCCCTCGTAAAACTGTGATTATGCCTGATCTAGCTGGGCTTAGATGATGTTGCGGATTGTATCTCACCACTTATGTCTGTCTGCAGCAGCAGCAGCAGCAGATTTGGAGAGCTCGGCGTATTCTTTTATCCACTGATGAACGCTGACGAATCGCCTTGGGCCAGGTCTTTGGTTGATTTCCCGTGAATGCCTTCAACTGGACAGCAACACTGAACTCGTGATGCGAAAAAATTATACATAAGCCCACTCAGTCACCCTTTTTCTGAATGGCCCAAGTCTTTTTGGCAATGTTGCCAGAGTGAGGCTGGGCTTCATCATCCACAACAAGGCCTTATTCTGCCCTATGTTTTGCGTTTCTTCCAGTTTTGGAAAGATTGCACAGGGGAACCTTGTGATCTGCATCTACAGGTAGGATACTAATGAGATGTTATGGAGATCTTGGCTCAGATGAATTCTAACTCGTCAGACTTATTTTTTCTGGTGCCGAACTCATAACCGCCCTCTTGCTTTAGAAAGTTGCAACTACGAGTAGATGTTACTTCAACTGATGTTTATATGCAATCCCCGTGACCTGGTGGACTGGACATTAAGAGGGGGGGGGGGGGAGAGGAGGGGAAACAGACTAACACAGAAAACAGAGAAAATAAAATTAGAACCTACCTAACTACGGCCGATCACCGAATCGGACGCCATGTCAAATTAAGTTGAGTTGTCTTTTTCCGGCTCTGCTCAATGCTATTTGCCTATGCCCTTAATTTCTGTTCCCCTCCACTTCTGTAGAAGCGCGTTTTTGTTTTCTTTCCGGCAAATGTGTACACTTTGATCTGAGACCAGACAGTCATGATGTCATTTCGTTTCTGCAGTTGGAATGGTATTGCCGGCAATACCATTCTGCTATATTATGCGCCGCTGTGTGCGGCTGCTGGTTGGGCTCGAGAGAGAGAGAGAGAGTCCATAAGGTACAATGGGACGAGTGACTTCCGTAGAAACGATCGGTGAGCGCCCCTCTGCCAATTCTACAGTTCTTTCCGACGATGTCCACCGTGTGCTCCACAGCACGGTGAAGCAGGGACGGTGACTTATGCGTGAGTTATTTTGTAGTGACAGTAGACTTGCACAACATCTGCCGCACTTTCCACTGCCCCTACCTGAGCTCAGCATCACGACAGAGGCGAGAAGACCAGAGGTGGGAGTGGGCGCAGGTGGCTAGCAGGGCGAAAACCCGCAACTAGGCGTGTCACCACACCCCCTTGTCCACGACGTGCATCAACCGGGGTTTTACACAACAGGAAAAAAAGAGGGAGAAGCGGCTCGGATTCCAAATGGCGCTGCGCGGGCCTGCACCCGGTCGTCCCGTCACAACCCCAATCTCAGCAGTTTTTTTTGAGTGCGGATTCCAAATAATGCCTACCAGACTCCAATCTAGCCCCCCCTTGTTTGTCCTGCGCATCTACCGCGTAGCCCGTTTTAGGGGCAAAGGCATGCCCACGAGGTGCGCACACGTTAGCATCGAATACACGGATAGATAGTGTTTATTTGAGTGCCTGGAAGGCACTTTCATCAGCATGACAGTTCCGAATTCCTTATCCCGTTCCCGATTCTCTTCTCCTACTCTAGTCCCTTGCCATCGATAGCGCTTAAAATCCATAAAGAACCCTGCGATGCCAGACAGTTGGCGTAGTCCGTAATTTTTAGGAGAACGTTGGCTCCTTGTCTCACAACAGATGTTTACAGATTGCTTGCGTTTCCCGTTCTCATTAGTTTGCCATACTAAGCGGTCTGCCTGTTTGACTTGTTAAACTTGTGTTGGAGCGCCTGAGCCGGTGTTTTTTCCAGCGGGCGTTAGGTACGGTAACTGAAATTATCATAATCTCCGTTCTCTGGGCACGTAAGCGAAAATATATTGCACCTCCAGCAGGCATGTAGGGAACAATTGTATTGTTATTTTGTTTCCAGGCACGCTCAGTACTGTTCTCACGTCTGGACAACACCTTATTTGAGAATGCACCACCGGCACAGGCGCCTGAACTGTTGACTGCTTTTGACAGCGCAGACGAGGCCGAGACTGAGGACGTTCCTATGGCCGAGCGGGACGACATCACGATTAAACGCCAGCCTCTTACAAATATGGTCACTCCCAATCGCGCAGCCCTGTCTGGCTGGGGCGACAGAACTGCACCCGGTCGGAAACCACCTAGCAATGTCACTCTTTTGGTCGCTGACTCGGACGAGGAGGAGGGGTGAAAATGCGTCGCCTATTTCTTTGCCATCATGACTGCGGTGCCCCAGGTTGCCTCATCGCAATTCACTCCAATGTACATATATGCTCCTGTGTAAATTGTTTTAATAGAATGTTTTCCATTCGAAAATTTTTTTGTCTGCATTTCTTCAGCGAAGCAAAGTTTGTTCGCGATTTTTAACTGATTGAGCATACCTTAGACGGAGTCTGCATTTACTGCCCTGTAAATGACGACCTGATCTCTCTCGGCTGTTAATATATATCAGTCCAATGGGGCCCGTGCATTGAACAGTTGTAAGGGAACCCACGTCCAGATCACTGCTTGGAAGTAGGGGTTTAATTCTGAAGACCCATTTATGCTCTGCCCAGACTTGAGTTAGTATATTTTCCTCATGGATCCTTTGTTTCTCGTGTGTGTCGCACAAATGATCCAAAGGCCAACCTGAATCTGGTTAAAGTTGGTCAGATTCAGTGTATTCGTCTGTTTTGCAACTTGACGTTTGTCTGCTTTTGAATGCATTACCGCGGTTGTAACGAAGGCTACACTTGGTGCAGAATGCATCGAAATAGTTTAATTGGACGCTTTTTCCTCCGCCCCTCGACTTGTCAACACAGTCCCAGCCTTTGATGATTAGACCGCTCTTCGCTGAGCTGGGTAGATATAAACCCCTTTTCTACAACACCATACTTAATCCCCTTTCGGCCTTGCACCTAAATGGGGGTAGAATCCTTTACTCCTGTCGAAAAAAGACGCCCACAGATACTCAGACTATATGCTGACGTTATTCGAAGGTATGGACCTGGGTTCTCCAACAAGCTTAGCTGATGAACCGTGCCAATTGGGAGCGCTCAAAGCCTACGTATACTTAGACGTGGGTCAGCGGGTACAATGCGTCCTATACTATCTCCCACACGTTGATGGGTGGGGAGTCGACTGACACTCATATGTGCTGCCTCAACCGATTCCACTCAGTCCCCAATTTGGCAATCTCTGAGAGCAATGTATATGACCCAGTCCGGATTCTTTTAAAACCTCCAGATATGTCTGGTGCCCTGCAGAAATCCTTTCAGTTTTACGAAGTATGTGGCTGTTTTTCTTTTTCTTTTCACGCACAGGTCTTGTAATTTTGAAGACCAGACTTTTGTAGAGGAGTTTCCTTTTAATACTATATTTGACAGGCTGATGATATGAACCCGATGGGGTTTTGAGCAGGTTTATACAAAAGTCGAGTTTTTTTTGACGAGGTTGTGGATTTCGCCGCACACATTTTAGACGTATCCGATATCAGTCATCGGTTCCTTTGAGTCTGTTACCATTGCAGCCGTCTCCTCTAAGCACGGATTCAGTGGCATCTGCATTGCCATACGATCGAGGTGATTCTTCCACAATGTGATGACCACTTCAGAGGCTACGACCTGACCTCCATTGATCGCGATCATACGTACCAGGAAGACTCCATCACGTCCAAGGTAGACATCTACAAAGTCTCTCAGTGTGCTGACTCCGAGAGCTCCCTTTGGAAGCTGTAGCTTGTGAGCACGAAGGTAGCGCCGGACAAATCGCCTGCGGTGGAAGGGACTGGCAGTGCGAAGTAACCAGAGCAGGAGGCTTCCGCAGGTGACGGCTAGCAGGAAGCAGATCCAGAACCAGAGGAAGATGTAGAGTTTCTCGTTGAGCATGTTGATTGGGAGAGCGCACTGGGCGGTGTAGGCGTTGTCTCCACCTACCACTCGTATGCTAGGTACCCGACAGTAGGCCACTCGGGGAAAGAGCAGCGTCATTGGCCACTCCCGACCGGTCCGGATGTAGTTAATGAGGGTCCAACCGAAAGCAAAACCCTGGTGGTCATCACCTAAAGAGAGAGAAAAAGCCACTTTTTTTCCAAATTTTTGGGAAATTTTTGACAAGTCTTGCTGATTCTGAAGATTATGAATCAAGGAATGGGCAACCAGGGATGCTCGCGTGCAATCCCTGACACCTCTACGTTGGCGCACTGACCTCTGCCCCATACCGGATCGAAGACCCCTAAGTCCACTGTCTGCAGTCCTTTTGAATCGTCTTCACCCCCCTCCCCTACCCTCCAACACAGGGAGTTGCAACGGTTCCCCCGCTCTCCCGCCCCAGATCCTAGCCTACTCATGTGCCCACCCCCTTTCACACACTAATTGCTTGCCTGTCTGTGGCCGTCCTGTCGTGCCAACCATTTTAATCGGACCATTGCACTGTATCCTCCGTTTACTTCGTCTGACGACCGGTTGGTGTCACCAGCTCGAAAATTTTCGAGTACAACTCGACTTTTTCCGACGAGCCTTCTGTCTTCATCTATATGTATATGTACAGTGCGTGACCGATCTCATGAAATGTTGGCCAAAATTCTGACGTGCGTTTCCGATTAGGAAGGATTACGTAAGTGGGGTTGTTATACTGATTATCATGCAGCATAACCCTATAAAATTTCGGACTCGACAGGATCTCGGTTTTTGAATGCAGTTCTTTTTGGCCTCCTGCATAAACCACACTTGGTAAAAAATTACTACCTAAGTAGCATGCATTTTCCTATTGATTATCAATGATCTTATAAATTCAAATGTATTTAATAGAAAACACGCAAAAATATGCTTCCTTTTGCTCATTTAGAAGGAAATCGCATTATATTCATATTTTGTACCCGAAGAAAGTGTGTATTTAGGTTTTAAAATGTTTCCCGGTGCCCGAATAATTGTCAGCCCGACCTGCCATTGCATCAGCGTTTAGAAATTTCATTCTACAAGGTACATGCTTTCCGCGTGAGGAAAATCATATATTCCTCTATACCGTTAAGAAGATATCACATAGAGTTCATGAAATTTTGCAGTGGATACGGACTGTGTTGTGCCTTTCGTGAGGAGCATAAGTAAACGGACATGTGCGGTCTTGCATGCATGGACATCGCACGGTCTTAAAAATCTCATGATTACGAACTTTTTAAAGCCTAATTCTGCACTTTCTTCGAACATAAACTATGAATATTATGCGATTTCCTTCTAAATGAGCAAAAGGAAGCATATTTTTGTGCATTTTTTAAAAATATAAAATACATTTGAATTTATAAGACCATCGAAAATCAATAGGAAAAATGCATGCTACTTAAGTAGTCATTTTTTACCGAATGTGGTTTGTGTAGGAGGTTAAAAAAGAAGTGCATTCAGAAGCCGACATCCTGTCGAGTCCGAAATGGTGTAGGGTTTTGCTGCATGATAATTAGTATAACAACCCCACTTACGTAATCCTTCCTAATCGGAAATGCATTTCAGAATTTTGACCAACATTTCGTGAGATCGGTCACGCACTATATATATATGTCAGCAAACCTTTGTGCTAATGTCGTTGGTTCTTCAAGTTAGTCGTTGTGTACGTCTATGGTCTTCCACTCTTGCTCGTTTCCGTTATAAAGGTGAACTCACTTATTTTGTAGTTTTGATCAGTGGGCTGATTGTCTTGAATAGGACCGTCTGCCGATGGTACATCGTTTCCAGAGAAGCCTAGGAAGCACTGGATGAGGTAGAGTTGTAGGGCAGAATTCACTACTATCAGTATCTTTATCGCGAGGTAGGACATCAAGAGGCAGGTGCCCATGCGTTTACTCATCAAACAGAGGCCGCAGTTTTCGTACATTTTGTTAACCAATTGCGTTCTTGGACCCTGAGATGAAAGAAAAGAATGAATGAGAAAGTGATCTAGTCATCGGAGAGTGAAAGAAGAAGCTACTAAAAGCTCCGATATGTTTATATTCTTCTCGCCCATAGTTATGACAGATTTTCAAGCCGGAATCATTCCTGCAAAATGAACTGTTTGGTGTCATGTAGTGTTTCACTACAACGTCAAGGCAAGCGCACGGCAGAATCCAGCATAATCCACCCCACAAGCCTTTTAACGAGTGATCCATAAGTTCGTCTAACGATACTGCATGGACCCCGAGTAAATTTTTTCCAACCCCAATTTTACTTCCCTATTTGGGTTATAGGCTGTTGACTTAAACCGAATAACTCCGTCACGTTTTCAATTGAGAATTTAGCAGCATTAAGCCATGAACACGTAAAGATTCCTCAGCATTCTTCCAACAGAGGTGTCCCGTAAATGCCCACACACGTGCTTCGCAATTGCTCGGAGCTGCCTGATCGAACTGCAAAGAGCCCAGTTCGTCTGTGGGTCCACCAGCGTCTTCCATGCGGTTTCTCAATCAGCTGCATTTGGCATACGACAAGTTATAATTTTGATTAGAAAAAGCAAACGAACTCGGGGAAAAGTTGCCGGAACAGGACTGCGGGTCCGGGCCACAATCGATAAGAAGCTGTATCAGTAGCGTTTAATGTAAACTTTTTGTAAGATCCTTTTCTGTTCCTCAGAATCAAATGGATGGCATAATTTTCGGACCGCTCATCTTGCTCGAGAGACACGGAATTTGAGCTGGCGCGCCTTTTGAGTTCGGGTTCAAATTCCATTTATGTTACTATTCAAGCGGTTCGCATTTCGCCTAATTTATAATTCGGCCAAAGCAATAGCACTGATTCGCTCTTTTTTCACTACAAAATCAGATGGTTAATGCTGTTGGTCCGATTTTTCGGCAGCCCGATGATATTTATATCGACTTTTGAAGTGTCCAGGTATCTAAATCTTCCATTGCATACATTAGTCCCAGTCCTTGAGAATTTAATTTTAAAAAATTTGACGCGCGCATAACAGATAAGCGAAAATAGCATCATTCACGGCAACGTATTACGGATGATTTGGTTTGCTTTGCCTTCATGCGGCAAGTGTAATTCTGTTTCAATTTTGGCCATCAGTCTTTTTGACTGAATAGTGATGTTTCATTTCTCAATGATATTGAATTAAGATACTTAAAATAGTCGGCACAATATGGAGACATTACTAAAGTCATTAAAGTTTACGATGGAGGCACTTGTTTGAAGTTGAAGTGAAACTGCATACAGATGGGGGCTTGAGGAACATCGAAGCTGGTACTTC